TGGTGGAAGGACAGCGTTCTGTGCCTGTGGTTGCACCAGGTTTCCCGGTCGTCCTCGGTGTGCGGAGCCATCGGGTGGGTCTGTGCCCAGCCATGTCGGCATTGAACCGAAGGGCTGGAGGCAGCTGGCACTGCGGCGCTGGTCTGTGCTCACCCGGGGACACGCCGGTGCCGCAGTGTGGCTTCAGCTTCTGGCCGGGCACAGCGTGGGGATGCGAGGGCTGAGATCCATCCCTGGACCCTGGGCAGCCCCACTGTGTATTTGAAGGGATTATCATCTCTTATTGTCCCATTCCTCTTCCTCTCCCAGCAAATGGTCTCCGTGATGCCAGGATGGCTCCCTCTGACACCGGGCACTGGCCGAGCCCATGGCCATTCCAGCAGGTTCCACTTGTAGCCCCCCAGGTCACTCCATCAAGTCCCACTGGAGCTTTTTGGAGCCCTGAGTGGGATCTAGCCCTCCGTGCTGGTGAGGGGGGGGGCTGCCTGGTCTGCGGGGGACTGGGGGTCCCTGCCAGCGGCTCCCCAGCTTGGGGTAGGGGAGAGGCTGCTCTTTAATCCCGTCTCTGCTCCGGCATCCCGGCATCCCACTGCCAACAGAGCTCCCCTTGTTTACCCAACTCGGAGGAATCGGTTTACAAGGCTCACAAATACCCTTTTCACCTTTCCCATCAGAAAACACCTCCCGAAACAATGAGGAAATTGGATGCCGCCACCTGATCGCTCCCAAGGAACCTGCGGGACTGGGAGGTGGGGGCCGGGGGCCCGGTAGCTAGGGGCCATGGGCCGGGAACGCCTGGCTGGGATGCTCCTCCATGGCTGGCACAGCTCTGCGGGTGGGCGGCCGCAGGTGCCACCCAAAAATCACCTTGAGGGGGGCTTTGGATGATGAAGCTGGTGATAACCAGCACGGAGGTCAGCGCTCCCTGCCTGGCTCGCTCTGCTCACCTGCGTGCAGCTTGCAGCACCCGCAGAAAGTTTTTGTTAAAACTTTAATGGCTGTAGTTAATCTTTCCCACCACCTTTGACACCAAGAGAAAGGATGCTGAGATGTTATCTGTGAGCTGCTGACTGGTGGTAGTACCAATGCTAAATAAATCAAGCCAAAGCCGCCGTCCTCCTCCCAGGTGATGGGAGAGGTGGAGGAGGGTGGTTCTAGGGGGAAAAGGTGGGAAGGTGTATGCGTGGAGGGATGTCACTGGGTGCTGTGGGTCGTTGGGGTGCTGGGTGGCTGCTCGTGGCTTTCCACAGCAGGGCTCCAGCACACACCGTGCAGGATTAGCCCCAAAAGTGCTGGGTGCTCACTGGTGGGACACTGGTGGTGGGTCCATCTCTCTGCCATTGCAAGGAGTGGGATGAGCTGGGGCAGATGGTGGGCAGGGGTCTGCTCCTGTCCCAGGAGTGGGAAGTCAGAAACTGGGTTTTCGGGAGGGTATGGCTTCGAGCGGCAGCTGTCCTCCCTCTCGGTGCCCTGCCACTCTGCCGGACCTGAATTCGAGTTGTCTAATAAAGTGTCTGGGACTGCGTCCCGTAGCATGTTATTGTGCATGCAGGTGTCAATCTTGGTTTCAGCGTTAAGGTTGAGTTGAATTTTGATTTTTCTTTTTTTTCCCTCCCCATCTTAAAATAGGGAAATCAAAACGTAATGTATGGAGGATACAGCAGATCCCCGCCGAAATTACTGTGCATGCTCTGAGGGCATGATGAATTTCCCTATTAATTTAAAAGATCTGTTCATTCTTCCCAGTTAAGATAAATTTGAAGATGTGTCCTTGTTAAGACAAGTCATGAGCATAATTCCTTTGTGCCTTCAACGGTCCTTCTGAAGTAAAATTTCTCATACTTTTCGCTGTAATACTGCGTACAAGCGACTTGTGACAATTTTTGGACACTCTTTTTCTCTGCTGTTCTTGTGACAAATATTGCTTTTCATGTTCTGTATTTTAAAGGAGAATTTCCTGGAGAACTGGCCTCTTGCACGATGGGAACTGTTGTCGCTCTGCCCTAGGATGCTGTCACAAGCCATTGCTTGCGACAAAAAAAAACACATTTGGGGGGGGGGAATCTCAATGTACGGCTAAGAACTCAAAGAGCAATGAGAGAGGTGTTACACTTCAGGGGTTTCTCATCACCGCTCGTGCTGCCCGGCCTCTTGTCTGCGAAACAGCCCTGCTTTTAGAGAAGAGAGGGAGGACACTAAGGGGGAAATGGAGGAGAAAAATCAGGGAAATTGGAGGACAAAGGGTGAAATGTGTGTGTACGGGCAGGAATGTGGCTGGCAGGGAGCAGTGGTCGGAGGGAGACCATGCAGTGCTGCCACTGCATGCAGTGAAGGGCTGCCTGCTTTGGTTGGTAGCTCTGTCTTGCTCGATGTTCCTGTAGGAGATGTGGAAAATGTTCCTGGGCTAATTCCCAGGCAGAAGGTATGTGCTTCTGCAGCTGAGACTGAGCGTTCATAGAAGAAATATGGCTCATAATTTTATCCTTAAAACTAATAAAACAAACACAGGTCGTCTTTCTGAATTCTCTGGGAGGAAGAAGTGCCAGCAGGATGTGGTGCTGGGATGTTCTCAGCTCCCGTGATTGCTTTATGGCCTCTCCCCTGCTTAAAAATTAGCTTGACCTGGTCCCAGACAGCCATGCCGTCAGCCCGGGCTGGTGTCGCGTGGACCGGTCGGTTTGCAGGTGTTGGCCAAGGTTTTGGCCAAGGAGGTGTGACAGTTCCTCCTGGTATGGAGATGGGGGATGGATAGGAGCCTTCTCCTCCTGCTCCGGCGTTGCAAGACATCTGCTCGACTTGTTTGTGGCTTCCTGTTTGGCATCTTCTGGGCAGGAGGGAGCTGGCAGGGGCCAGAGGAGGGAATTTGAGTCACTTGGGAGTCCTGTGCCAGAAAGCCTCTGACTCAGCCCAGCCGTGGAGAAACGAGTGTGGGATCCAGCTGCCTCTCGGGGTGGGAACCCGTGAGCGAGCGTGCAAGTGTTCACTTGCGCGGCATGTCTGCGGCCTGGCGCGGGGTGGGGAGGGAGGGGCAGGGGCTCCTCTGCATCTCCTGCTGCGCGGCTCCTGGGATTGCGTCAGGGCTGCGGCCGTGGGTGGGGGAAGCCTTTATCGCTCCTGAGGCTTTGGAAGCGGCGTGCTGGCCGGGGGCCAGCTGACCTACTTGGTAGCGTGCAGGCGAAGCGCAGCTCACCTGCCGGCAGCCCTGGGGATGGAGCCGGGCTCTGCCGTGCCAGCGGCGCGGTGCAGCATCCCACCTGCGCGAGCCCTTCAGGGGTTAAGTTTCCTGCTCTTTCATGAGGCTGCTGCGTCCTCGTCGCCTTCTTCCAGAAGTCATGACTTTTACAGAACTTAATTGCTCCCTGCAAGCTTGCATGGCAAAGGCGCAGCCACTCTGCCGGTGGGGCCGGCGTTGGGATGATCCCGACTGTCCCCTGTGCCTGATGCCCCGTGGCTGTGGCGCTGCTTTGGGTACCGCTGGAGCCGGCACGGTGAAGGCAGAGCTGCAGCCGGGCAGGGAGGTGAGGGCAGATAACCCGCTTGAATTCCGCTCCCATGTTCGGAGCAGCGTGGGTGAAGGGGACCGTACCCGCTGTCCCTGTGCCTTGCCTCTGCTCCTGGGCTTGGGCGGGTGCTGGGGCTGCTCCCTCTGACCCGGCGAGCTGATGGAGAGGCACAGCAGATGTCTGTCAGTCTGTCCCGGCCATCCCTCCTACTGCTGCAGCTGGCACCAAGCTCTGGAGCCCTCGCCAAGGGCATCGGGGTGTGCGTGGGCTCGGGTTCCGCCTGCCTCCTCCGAGCCCGGTCGGCCGGGCAGATCTGCTGGGGCTCCTGCAGCCAGAGGCCTGGAGCCTGGGCTGCTCAGGCGCCGGTTTCAGCTCCGTGGCTTCTTGCTAAGACTTGTACCAGAGCCACGGAGCAGGTTGGTCTTGTGTGTTTGATCTTCCTTCCGTGGTGCCTGCAGCCCCAGCCGGTACAGCTGGCTGCGGGGAGAAGGTGTCCCATCTCCCCATCCATCTGTTGGGGTGGGATGGAGCAGGGACTGGCCATGTCCAGAAGGGGAAAGGAATGCCACGGACGTGCAGCCTGCCAGAGCACACGCTTCGGTTTTTGCCGTGCCCAAATTACACGAGGGAGTTGCAGCAGAGATAACTTTGCAGGAACATCCATTCGCGCCTTATCTTCCATCAAGAACGCCTTACGTGGCCTACATCAAAGTAGATGCTCTGCTGCTTCCCTCCTTGTTGCCCTAATCCTCTACTTCATGCTGGGAAAAAAAAAAATCAAGAGTATTGCTCCACAATAATGAAATCTGAATGCTAATTATCAGTATATTGCCTTCCTTCCCTTCGCAGTGCCCTGCCTTCCAGCCCCAAATAGCTTTCCTCCCTCCTTGCTCCTCTCCATCCGGTCCTCCCACGCTCCTGGGCACGCCGTTGAGCCTGGCTTGGTAGAAGTTGTCCTGCAGGATGCTTCCCTCCCTTCCATTTAAGGACAGGAATTCCTCGGGGAGCCAGGGCGTGGAAGGGATCCCTCCCCATGCCCCATTGTCAGGACTTCTCCCCGTACCTAATTATCGCCTGTCCCTGCAGGAAGCTCCTTGCCTGGCCGTCGGGCAGAGCCGCGGCGTCTCCAGCCTGCCCGCTCCACGGCTCTTTGTGGGAAGACTCCATTCTATGTTGGGTGCCAGGCTTGGGTCTGGGAAGGGTGCTCGCCCTCGTCGTGGCAGGAGGGCTGGGGAGCACAACTCAACCAAGCGAGCCCCTGGTTTTGTTGGTGGGAGCCTGCGCTGGCTCCTTGCACGTGCAGTGATGGTGAAGGAAGAGGAGAGCTTTATTTTGGTGTCAAAAACCATCTTGCGGGGTGAAAGCAGCAGAGTTTAAGCACAAAATAAATGTTGTGAAAGCGGGGCTTTGTGGGGGGGTGGGATGGGCTGACATGGCCCTCGCTGCTTGCCCTTGAGCGTGTGTGGCTAACCTCTCGCCCTCTTCTCTTCCAGGTTCATGACTGGGAAGGGTCTGGTCATCTACCCGGAGATTGGGGATAAACTGGACATTATCTGCCCCAAGGCGGAGCCATCCAAGCCTTATGAGTACTACAAGCTGTACCTGGTGAAGAAGGACCAGGCAGATGCCTGCAGCACCGTCATGGACCCCAATGTGCTGGTGACATGCAACCGGCCCGAGCAGGAGATCCGCTTCACCATCAAGTTTCAGGAATTCAGCCCCAACTACATGGGCCTGGAGTTCAAGCGGCAGCAGGATTACTTCATCACATGTGAGTCGTCATCCTCTTCCTCGCCGCCGGCCCCGGCTCAGGGAGGTCGTGGGGGCCTGGAGAGTGTCGCCAGGCGCTTGTTTGCAACTTGGCTGGTGCAAAGAGCTGACACGTATGGAAAATATTTCCCGCTGGATGGGAGAAGAGGGAGGAATGTGTCGCTGGCCAAGAGGGTCACCAGCCCGTATCTGGCTGCTGTGCTGTGCCTTGTGCCCCCTGCCCGCGGGCAGGAGGAGGAGCACGTCCCCCCACTGGGGTCAGCCCTGGCATGGAGGGGCAGTGCGTGTCTGAAGCTTATTTTTTGCAGGCTTCCTCTGAGGCTGGAAGTGTTTCAGGGCATTTTTGTGTAAAGCTTGCCCTGGGGAGCTCCTGGTGGGGCAGTCAGGATCAGGAGGAACAGGGACCAAGGAGATGCTCGTCCTCTTCCCTGGGCGCTGCCTCGAAGAGCAGCCCTGGCAGTGGGAACCTGCCGGTGGTGCCCAGTCCTTGCTGTGGTCTAAATGGCTGTAAAATCCTGCATACTGGCCTGTTCCTGTTGTTTCTTGGTATAACATGGCGTTTCAGAGGGGAGAGGGAAGGAGGGCTGAATTTTTTTGGAGCCCGTGGTCTGTGTGTGCAGGGGGCCATTGCACAGGGATGTATCCGCCTGTGCCAACTCCGGTGTGGATGGAGGGGAGGACTCCGGGGGGGCTTGTCCCCCTCCCCTCGGTTTGGTGGCACTGGGCTCGGTGGTGCCCGCCAGCTCGCTCTTCCCTGCTCGGCTTTTCATCCTCGCTGTTTCCGCCTGGTGCGGCGCATCGCGTGCGAACCTGCGGTGGAGCAGCCGGCAAAGGGCACGGTGGCCACGCGGCTCATCTCTCCCCTTGCCATCACGTGCCGCCGGCTCGCCGACGAGCAGCCCGGTGCAGAGGTCAACCTCCCGCGTGGGAGGTGAGCGCCGAGCCGTGGGAGCTGGTGCTTTCTAGTCGGTAAACAAATGTATTTTTAGCCTGAAATCTTTGCCCTTGGAGGGGGTGGTGAGGATGTTGCAGGCAGCTGGGGGCAGGAGGTGCTCTGCCGTAGCGCGGTGTCGCGGTGATGCTGCCAGCCTGGATTTCCCCAGCGAGCCCTACCTGGGGCTGGGGCTGCCTTTAGTTCTGCTGCAAAATAATTTGAGTAAACCCAGTGCAAAGAAAGCAGCCAGGATGGGTTCTGGCAGGTCAGCCCCGAGCCCACCCTTGCGTCCTTTGCGGGGAAATCTTGTTTAGTGCTTCCTAATGTGTGGCTGAGCATGAGGTGGTGACGAAGGGGCTCGCAGGGGTTTCTAGTGACCTGTGCCCGGCACCGCATGGCCGTAGGAGGGGTGACAGCAGGGAGGACCTGGTGCAACAACCCGCTCAGCCTGCTCGGCACAGCGGCGGTGCCGGCAGAGACAGAGGGCTGTGCAGGACTGAGTCACTGTTTGGTGGGGCCGGTCTCTCCCGAGAGCTGCCATCTCGCTGTCCCCCTCGCTGGCTGGTGCTGGGGCCATCTGCCTGGTGTCGCTCGGGGAGCACAGGTGGGATGACCAGCTTTGCAGCCATCATGGGCGCAGGCGATCCTGGCTGCAAGCCCAGGTGCCCCGGGGATGCGCTGGGGATGCCAAAAGTCCTAGTACAGGTCCTCCGCAGGCTCCCATCTCCCTTACCACAAGTAACCGGTGCTGTCTCCAGCCTGGTGGCTCTGGGACCCTGAAAGGTCAGCCCTTCTGCTGTCCCTCAGCTGATGCAAAGCTTAACTCAACAGCAAGCTTTCCCTGCAGTGAACAAAGAGGGGGGAGAGGGGCTAAATGCACAGCCGTGAGTCTGCCTTTTGTGTGTCGGGCAAACATCTTGAAGCACTTGGTCAGCGTCTCCTCTGTGCATGGGGGTCAAGTTCAAGCAGCGGCACGGTTGTCAAGCTAATGAGAGCTGAAAGCGGGGTCCTGCCTCGCGCCCCGCTGCTACGTCCCCTGGGACCCTCGGGCTGCGAATAGCCCCCAAAGACAAATACATTGCCCAGAACGAGCTCGGGAGCCTAACAAAGCGCTGGGGAGGAGAAACGCAGAGGGTCCCTCGCATTGCGAGGCAGTCCGGCAGGAAGGTGCAGGCAGGGGGGGATTTACATGGCTCTGAATTGCACAAGTTTTAAGGAGCTGCTTTGCATTTCACACGAAAGCTCTTGCTTAAGTTAAATCAGCCTCTCCCGTAGCTTTCAGTGGCGTTTTCACAAGTGGCCGACGGCACGCTGCCGACTACAAACGCGGCTCCCTAAGGGCCCCCGTGACTTTGAGCCGGTGCCAGCTCCCCTCCAGTGCTGCCAGCACACCTGGGTCACCATCGCTCCGGCTTGCTGCACCTCCGACGGGATGCACAGCCGGGATTTTGCAAGCTGTGCTGTGTCGGCAAAGCCACACAGCACAGCTTGCAAAATCCCGGCTGTGCATCCCGTCGGAGGTTTGGCTGAGGCTTTTAAACTCATTGCATTTTTCCCCCAATTTTTTTTTCTTTATATGATTCTGCTACCAGCAATGGGAATCTTCTCCCCTATCTAGAATTTTTTTTTTCTATATTTGTAATGCAGTCCCGCTTTCATCCCAAGGCAAGGGGGGGGGAATCTCCCCGGAGACTGCCATAAACTCTTATTTATCCTCTATTTCCCAGTCTCCCGTTGCAGCGTCTTGGAGCGTGTGTAGGGATGTGGTGAGCGGGGTGCTCTGAGCCTCTCTGTGGGGTCCTGCCATCTCTCCTCAGGGGGCCGGCGGTGCCCTCTGCACCCTGCTCGGACCGTTTCTGACTTTAATTTCTCTTGACTCCTCTGCGCTTTGATGCGAGCCCCCTCGGCGCTGGGAGCGAGCGGCCGCTGCCAGCTGAACTTTGGCCCCTGGGTGGGCTGAGGATGCTCCTGTGATCTGGTCGTACCCTCTGCCGAGCAGCCCCAGGAGCTCTTTCTGCCAAGAAATGAAATAGCCAAAAAAACAAAGTCAAAATCCTCCCGAGCAGACCCCCCACGTGTTGTCTTTTTTTTTTTTTTTAATCTT